TCTCCTGGGGAGAAGCTAGGACTAGAGGGGAGGACTCCAGATCAGTGCCTGCCTGATGAGCGCCCACTCTAATTTCTCTGTGTACAGCTAACACCTACCAGTGTACCCATCTGCAATTAATACCCGTGGGGATGCTGCTAAGGGCTCCCACTGAGATGAAAGGTAAAGCCATAAATAGCTCAAAAAGCTTTATTTTCCCACTTGTTTCCCTGCATTCTCAGGCTTGCAACAGTCATCCACCTAAGCAAAGGGCAAAGCTTGAAAATACCCAATTTAGAATAATTTTACTTAACAAGATGCCAGCCGTAAGCACTGAGGGGAAAGGCAGGAAAGATGGGCTCGCAGAGAAACGCCAGGCTGGGGTTCAAGACATCTTGCTCAGTCCTGGCGCAGGTTTCCTGTACGAGGTGGGACGAAATGGGGAGAATAATCCTCCTTCCCCTTTCACGCTGCTTATTCAGTTCATAACAGGGACCATCTCACGTTATATGCACCATGCCTAACACAATGGGATATTAGCTGGAGTTTTCCAGAGCTAAACTGACGTACTTCAATAATAAATGTAGAAAGCCGGGTTTCCTCTCGTTCCCTCTCCTGTGGCTTCTCTTGTGGCCGCTACTCCGGCTGAGTTCATGTGATGGCTTTCCCCTGATTGCAGGAGCAAACTCAGCTCTTGGCTTTGTTACTCATTGTTACGGAGCTGAAGATCTCCCAGACTTTCACACCTTGACGGATTTGTTTCGCGTTAGCTAATAGGTTTCAAGAGTTATTTGGGGAACCGCACGACTGGCTGGGACAGGCAGCAGCGTCGGAGCAGCTTTGCCTTTTAGGCTACACCAGAGAGACTCGCCCGGAGGGCAGCAGCATTTGAGAGCACAGCCCATAATTCTCCCAAGGGAGCTAAAGTCAGTTTGGCTTTTTGCACTTTATCTTCCAAAAAAGCAACTGTCTGCAAGGCTGAGCTCTGGTCACTGGTGTCTTGCCTCACCAGCATCTGGGTCGTGGACCTGCTGATGCCTTGAGCAATAATTTCATTTAATGTAGCAGGTTTTCAGATCATAATTCCCTGGTAAGCCAGGCCGAGGTATAAATCTGTTAACGCTATTGATTCACTGCTCTGTTTTATTTTAAATCTGTTGAACTTTAGGAAGGGCACAGAGTGACACAGCACTTAAACATCCCTCAGGTTTGGTGTCCAAAAGGGCTTACCCCACAAGAGATGGGGCCGACCTAACAACTGACCTCCCTGCACAGACGGTAACCCTGCCAAGGCTGAAGAGCCAGAAGGTCTGACTTCTACCCCTACTCTCTCTCGTAATTTTGCGAAGACCAGTTCTTTGTGCAGCTGGGATTTTAAAAACATGGAAAGAAAGCATGCAAAATGCACACCAAAAACCGTCAAGCTCTTTTTAAAGAAAAACACTGGGAACAGCAAGGACAAACAGCTTGGGCCAAGTCATACCCACAGGATCCAAGGAGCAAAACAGTGTTTCTGATGGAGAAAGAGGACGTTATGATCACCTGTGACCACAGGAGAGATGCAAACTACTGGCAGTTTTGCCCTGCAAAGTCAAATGAACTCAGAACAGAGGGAGAGAAAAGCCCCACTCCTCAAGCAGGACCAGGAGGAGATCCAGGAGATCTGCAGGAGGTGGGTCCTACCACTGAGGAGCTCTTTGCTGTCGACGCCTCAATGCGGCACCAGCACAGGCTCCTACAGCAGCCGTCACGAGGGAGCAGAATAAAGCACCTGGGCAGGTGACGTAGTGTTTCTGGAGCTCTTCTGAAGAAAGTCTGCTTCATTTCAAAGAGGGGCCAAAACTGAGATCAGTTGGGCGTCACGCCTGTCCACCCATAGTCACAGAGTTGGTATTTCGACCGCGTTTTGCCCTCAATCTGCCAGTCTTGGGAAAATGAGTCTCCAGGCTCTGTTCCTGGGGCTGGGCAGCCCTGCCGGCCTCACCAGCACGCGGCTGCCGCCTTGGGACCACGGGGACTGTTTGCTGAGCATTTCCATCCACCTGCAGCTTCTGATCTCGTAGATCAGCATTGCCGCGGCAGGAGCTCCGCGCCTGAGAGATGAACAAGGGCACTTCCACAACCAGAAGCACATGCAGAGGAAGGGCATCCAACTCGTCCTCCTCTGTTTATTCACAATTTGGAACAACTTACTGGCACAAGCTGAGAGAGGGGTGGCAATCTCAAACCAGCGCCGCCGCTCAGAGCGGCAGCCGAGACGAATCCTGCTGGCCGAGGGCGGCACAGAGACCGGGGCATCACGCAGCTGCAATACAGTTTCTCTGGTGGAGAAGACGAGCCTTACGCATCACTTAAAGAAAAGAACAGAACGATAGCCCTGACAACAGAAGGACCAAACTGCAAATTTCTTCTAGCTAGTAATCAGCTACTTACTCCAAAAAGTACCTTGCACATCAGGCCAGCAGCTCTTCTCTACTGGGAATAGTTTTCTTACCTGACTCCAGATTAAACCAATTCCCTACCAATGTTAAGGAAGGGAGGCTCTAGCCCCCAGCGAGCCCCTGACTGCTGCTTCCCACCCTAGGCTGAGAACACGTCGGCTCCGCACAGGTTACAGCCTCTCTCCAGCTCCCCAGCCAGCACTAGGCTTCCGCCCGGAGGTGAAATGATGGATTCCCCATTTACAGATGGGGACAATCTAGGCGCGGGGACACAGCCTGCAAGCTCGCAGTAAGCAAACAGCGAGAGGAGAAGGGAAGGGGGTTCAGGAGAGGCAGCACTTGCAGCTCACCAGCCTGAACACCTCCGCCAGGCAGCGGAGGAGCGCGCTTATCACCTGTCAAGATCTGCAGAACAACGAGCATCTCGCAGTGCTAAGACGGGAAGATGATGCGGTGCCTTAACATTATTTGCACCGTCTCTTAGCCACCTGCTGTGAGCCGCTGCCTCCCTTGGATTTTTCATTTCCCTTGTTCAAAATTGAAGTGAGATTATAGATATGTACCTTGCTCATTATTTTTTGGGAAGCGGGAGAGAAAGTTTATGAAGTCAGCCCTATTTCTCTGCTTCTGCACAATAACAGTTCCGTAATTCCAGACCTAGTGCTAAATAAACACACGCATATTCGTATTTTAAACTACCCGCAGGATCCCCAGTACTATTTGGAGTATCCCCCTCGAAGCACAGCCAATTTGCACCAGCCACAGATATTTTTTTTTTCCCCACAAACTAATTGTTCTTAATGAGCACGTTGTAGGTATTGTGAGGTTTCATAATCGCTGTGGTGTGTGTGATAACGCGTTGCAGCATCTCGGTGGGCCAACTCCCACATTAATACGTTAGATAAATAAATGTGGAGCTACAGAAGCAGAATTTAATAAAGGGAAGACAAGACTCGGATTAACTGAGCACAAGCCTGAATTGACTCTCCAGAGCCTGCAGTCAGCAAAGAGGAGGTAAGCCGGGCCACCCTTCTTGCCAGGCACAGGGAAACCTCATGTAGGAAAAGAGATTATCTTTCTTAAAAACAAACATTTTAATGTTTATATATAAATACTGGTCAGTGAAAACAGAATTTATGTCTCTGTTTTGTTTACTTTCACCTTGCTTACCATTTTACTAGCTTGAATGCCTGGTGTGATTGTTTGAAACTGTTTTTTGAACAACTTTTCTAACCAGTCTGAAAATTACTTTGCATAACAGAGAGAAAAGGAAGAATTCAAACACAGTGCTGCTAGGCAAGCAGAATCGGAAAAATATCTCTGCTGAAGATACATCCCTCAGGAAGAACATCTGTTAAAATATACTCAATTTTGAATAATCCATAGTAGCACATAGTGTAAGTACTCCTCCTCACCAAAGAGCAAAACCAAAGCAAACAAGGCAGGCTCAACATGTTGAATTCTTTGGAGCCGGGGCACGTTTCAGGTGAGTGATGGAAGGATGCAGGCAAGCGCACAGAAAGCAACCGCCAATCCCCCAGCAGAACCAGCCGGGACAGCCGGCTCTGATTTCCCGCTGTTTCTGTTGGTCTCAGCAGCCCCTGCCCCTCGCGCAGGGGCCGTGGCAGGGGCTGGAAGGACCCCACGTCGTTGCAAAGGCTTTTTTTTGAGCAGAGCTGTCTCCATGATGCTGCAGAGCTACCTCTGGCATTCTCAGTGTGACAGATCTCCCTGAAACATGGTTCAGCGTGAGTTTCTGCCGGTTATTCCTGCTTCATTGCACTCAACCTCCCCATCTGCCCTGCTTTTTCTGCAGAGGATCCCCTCTGCTGTGGGCACATAACTCCTACGTAAATGTGGGACAACGGCTGAAGGCTGGGAATCTGGCGGCTGGATGGTGCCCCTGACGCAGCTCAAAGCACCTCTGCAAAATGAGCGCAGCGGCGTTTCGAAGGCAGACAGCCCCCTGTCACTGTGTGAGCAGGTACTGCCACCGCGAACGGCCGGCATCTGGTACAGCATCGCCCCTGTTTCTGAGGTTTGCTTCAGCAGCTCTACCAAGGTAACCCCCCTAAGGTTGCTCCTACAAAACCCGATGCACCGTGCGGATGGATGAGAGCCTCCCAGGGAAGGTGCGCACGCCTCTGAGAATTCCCGGCAACTCCAGAGCGGGGCCAAAGGCTGCCTGTCAGATTGCTCTCCCTGTCTGCAAACTCCGAACCCTGGCGAGCCCCGGAGCGGCTGCGCAGCAGGCGCTCATCAGCACAAAGGGCGACTCTCCAGCGCCACGCTGCCTACACACGCTTTGCTGTTTTGTGGCTGGGACAGCAGCAGGTAGAACGACCAACTGTCACGTCCCCCTGCGATAAGAAAGCCTGCTCAGATGGAGCTGCATTAAACTTTAAGCAGCGGCTACCAGTAAACCAGGTCTGATGTAATTCTGGCAGGGTGACCAAACCCAGGTCACGGGGGATACCAATAAATAATCCACGTTAACGAAACGTCTTGACATTTGAGGCATTCAGAAGCGTTTGGCTGCATAAATAACGGGAGGACCCGGGACCACGAACCGCCCCTTACTTGTGAGAGATGATGGTGGGGGGAAGCTGCTTGTGGTCCCCAGCGAGGATGCACTTTGGAGCCTTCAGCAGCGGTATCCAGCAGCTGGCTTCCAGCGCCTGAGCGCACTCGTCTATCACCACCACATCGAAGTGATTTTCGGGAAGCAGCTTCAGCGGGCCATCCGAGGAGGCACCTGATTAAAGGAGAAGGTGCACAGCTTAGCAGGGGAGCACAGAAGAGCAAGCAACCTGGTTATAAAACAAACCACGCAGATTTTAATTGTGATTGTTTCTTTGCAGAGACTTAGAAATTTAGGTCTATAGTCTGTGCCAAAAACATATACATTTATATGTATGTCAGAATTGGTTTTGCCAATTTCTGTTTGTCCTTTTTTCCCCTGGCATCTGCGCCCAAAACCTTCCAAGTACCTTTGGAAACCACAGTGAAACCAAGATGACAAATGGAACAATATGCTCGAAAGCTTCACCCAGAGCGGGAGCAGAGCAAAAGCACTAATGAATACCCACTTTCCTTCTGCCCTCAAATGCAAACAAAACTTCCCACCGACCCAAACTGAAAGGACGACGGATGGGAGATTCGCTGTGCCTGATACACCGAGGGACGCCCCAGGAGGGAGAGATCAGTTGAGACCCTGCCTCCTCTGCCCTGCTGACCCCGGCTCTGCCGCTCTGTCCTTCCCCACGGCAGTGGAAGGGAAAGCACAGGAGACTGTAATCAGACAACCACGGCAAGGGCTAATTTTTTACATCAGACGTCCGTTTGTTATGTCAGCCAAATAATGCTCACACAGGTCCTACCATAAGCCAGCCACGAACCCATAGGGATCCACACATTGATCAGAACTGTGAATTTCAGAGGCTTCAAAAATATCACTGCAATTGGTAAGAAAAAGGCATGCAAAAGGGGGAGAGGAGGATTAAGAAGCCAGTATGCCAGACAAGGAGATTTTTATTCATGGTGTTCACAGAAATGCTTTCTCAAAAGCCTCTGTGCTATTGCAGTGAAAGCAGCTCTGATGAGGGGTGATTTTGCTTTGCCACTGTAAATCCCGCTGCCCCTACAGCTCTGCAGCAGCTCAGATGTTACAGTTTGTCAACGGAGACACCGTGTCTTCCTTTAAAAATATTTTTTGCAGCCTATATGACTCCACTCTGGTAACAAGGGGCATAGAGACTGAACTTGACTCTTGCGATTTCGCCATGCTGAAGGTGAAAGGAAAAGAAATAAGTAGAAATGTTCTCTCTATCTAAAAGACTGTACCGACGTGGCATGCAGCTGTGCAGATGGTTTTCTTCCCTTGCAGCTCGACTTGAGTTTATCGAACTCCCATTAACTAAAGGTCACTGGTGTCCCTGTGTGTTGCCATGATTAAATTCTCTCTCTGCTGACCCTAGCAACAGAGCACTTTGGCTTGCATAAATAAGAATTCCCATCAAACTACGTGGTTTCAGACAAATAGTAAGATCGTTTAACTGAGAAAAACACAAAATCCAACACCTTGTTTGTCCACCACCTTTTGCTGAAGCAGAACTGCCCAGACCTCCACACTGGCTAGCAAGCCCCAGAGCCCCAGGAGAAAATCTCATCTGACCAACACAACAGTCAGCAGAAAATACCAGTTTTACTGAAAAAAGGAAAGCTCCTGTTTTTCCAGGCAAAGTTAAAAGAAGTGAGAGGCCAATTCCCAGCAAATAATGCACTGGAAGGATTTATCTTTCCTTTAACCTTCCCACTAGTAACTTGTGAACGCCCCATGAGATTCTTTTTTGTGACCTAAAATTACTGATGTTTCACTTCCGCAAATAATCCCTGAGCAACCAACTCTGAAGACAGTAAGTGGGCCCTGGAGTATTATACATCTGATCTAGAAAAGCACTCTAGCACGTGTTAAACTCTACGCACTTATGTTCCCCTTCGATTGCAAGGGTGTTATTTCCCTACTTGTAGATGCAGATGTGCGTAGATGTGCTGCCTGACACGTACCGGGAACCGTTCCCTAAATCCCATGTCATTTACACCACTCGGGTGACTTACAGACCTACCCAAATCCATGCAGCCTGAGAGCAGGCTATGGAAACATGTGCTGTATTCGATCAGCCATGGAAATTATCCAAGCAGGAAAGCAGTTCCATGTGACTTACGAAATCAATAAGCAGATTGCACACCTCCAATAGCGCTCGTTTACTCACTGAAAGCTCAGCTCCTACACAGGACTAACAAAGGTGGGCCACGCTGGCTCACACCAGAGGCTCCTCTGAACCCCTACGCTTTGCTAAACACCACCATCACACGCCAGAGTGTAAGCAGGGAGAATCCCACTGGGGAGGAGTTTGAGAGTGAGCTCCCAGGGGCTTGGAGCAGCAAGACTGAGTCTCCCTCCTATCCTGGCAGGATGCCGCATTGCGAGACACGTGGTTCACGTGAGTCCTGGCAAGTGAGGTAAAATACCGCAAAGAAAAAGAAGATCTCGCACCTGTGTTTGTAGCAAGGACAACACTGGCATGGGTAAGGGCTGCAGCCATGGCAGTTTCTTCTCGTTCTTTCAGCTCCTTTCTCAGTGCCTTAATCTCACTGAGAAAGTGGCTCCGCTCTCCCTTGTCTTGAGCCTTTTTGCTTTTTGCCTATAAAACAGAAAAATCAAGATAGAACAAACTGTTTCTAGTCCTCGGGATACGTTCAGCTTCTCAGATAACCGAAGGACCCAGGTAGAGCATGGCTCTTCTATGTCCACCATGATACGCTGGCTCATCTCATCAGCCCCATGAAACCTTGGTTCCTCTTCCCTCTCCCTGCCAGAAAGCCCCTTCCTTCCACATCCAGTGCTGCTTGAAGCATACAGAGGATTTCTGTCTGTGCCACAGATGAACTGCATCGATACAACCCCAGGCTCTGAGCACGAAGCAGCAAAATGAGACTCTCGCTGCCCATCAGACCACCCGGGAGCACCAGGACTAACACCGTCACTCAGGGGCCAGGAAGCAATTTCTCAGACTTGGTCGCTCCACGCTTAAACTCCTCTGCCCGTACGTTTGGATAGTCTTGAATTGTGAGCATGAAGTGTTGAAGAGGAACTCGCTGTCCTTAAACCCTCTGTTCAGCCCTTCCTGCTCTGCCCTGTGCTTTCCCAATGCCCCAGTGATCAGCAGGGAGGTCAGATGCTTCGGTCTATGCACCAGCCGAAGCATCGGGGCACAAAGCAGGGAGTAATGTACGACGGTGATTAGGCTTAATGGGAAGAAGGGTCCCGTGCCTTTGCTGGCTGAGGAACCAGGACTTCCTATCTCGTTCTGCTCCGCTGCTCAGGGGAAGCAGGGACCCTCTGCCCCCAAGTGACGCTGCAGCAAGAGGGCTCCCCGAGTTCTCTGCACCATGTCCAGCCAAAGCAGCAGCTCTGCGTTTTTAAAAAGGTGTCTCTGAGCTGCTGTAATGATTCACAGCAATATCTAGACAGGCTGATGGCTTTTTTTAGCAACGCCTATTAAATATATCTAACACATCAAATCATCACCGCTGGTTGCTAGTGCTTCCCAGCTACAGACCAGCAGCTACGAGACAGCAGCTAAGCTCTTGTTCCCTGCAAGTCCCCTTGAGAAAGCTACCTGCACTCAGACAGAAATTTGGATTATTTCCTCAGAGGTAAGGCTGACGACTTGAGAAAGCTGAAAAGGCTGTAGACAGAAGCTTTTCTAAGCAGCCAAACCAATAAGAGCTGATGGTTCCTATAATCCTCCTCTGTGTGGCTGGATTCTCCGCCGGCTAACATGGTTCAGCTCATAGTGCAGCCTTTTCCCGAGGAAAGGCGATCACATGTCTTGCTCCTCTACTCAGCCACCTGTTTTGGTTAAACTTGTAGGTATTTAATACCTGTGAAACCTCTACATGTCTGTCAGGTGTAGTCAAAATTGGCTGACAGGCTCAGAAGATCCAGGGGAGGGATCACAGACAGATACGCAGATCCTGCGATCGCACAGGCACCTTTTCCTTAGCTTGATCTAAAAGGACAGGGTGGGCGCCGGTCCTGATGTTCCCTGAGCTGAAGGGACAAAGCAGATTAGCATCGACTGCCTCTCTGCTAGAAACAGAGCGAGATTAGAGAGCAAAACTGATGGTGCCAGTAGGGCCAAGTTTAATGTCTGTTCTGCAAAAAAAGATCTAGTTAGTAAATTAACAACACCAACTGTTCTCTGGTGTTGGCTGGTGACATTAAGATCCAAACATCCGACTGACCCTCAGCTCTGAAAGCAGCTGTGGGAGCGGGGAGCCCCGTCCCGAGGTAGCAGAGCGCCCTCAGCCAGCCCCAAGGACAGCGAGTGGGCCGCTGCGAGCCTGGATCCCACCGCCTCCTCGTTAGGGCTCCGTGGGTACCAGCAGGCTCCAATTGTGCCCACCTGCCTCGTTTGGGCCCCCACCCACACACTCGTGGTTCTGGGAGCTGCATTTAAGGCCAGACCTTGCCCCTTCCCTGAGCTATTTGGTTTGTGTCCTGAGCCTGGCTGCCTTCCTGAGCTGGGCGTCTTGTTGCTCTGGACCTGCTGGTGACCTGGACTGCTGGCTGACCCTGCTCAGTGCCACTGGACCCGTGCTGCCGTTCTTGCTCAGGTACCAGGGGGCTGCATCCTTGTTGGTGCAGAGCGTCCAGAAGCTGATGTCCTGGAAAGCTTGAACAGGTGAGAGGAGGAGACACAAAGGGGTAGAAAATGTGCAAAGAGAACATGGTTTTTGGAGGTATTTGAAAGACCCACAGATGTGGTGCTGAGGGACATGATTTAGTGGTGGGTTTGGCAGCGTTAGGTTGATGGTTAGACTCAACAATCTTCCAGCCTAGACAATTCTATGATTATATTACTAGTTCTCCTGTGGGTGGGGGTAGTGGTGAAGGAAAGGAGTGAAAGACTCAAAATGTGGAGTGGACAAAGGAAGAAATGGTTACAGGAGCAAGTAGGGGACATTGCAAGGGAGAAACTGAGGCAGGATGAGGGAAAGATGGGCCAGGACCTCAGAGGTGGGCTCCCTGCAGCCCAGAGACAGAGAGCGATGCTAATGAGTCGGGTGCATCTTCTGTGAGAGATCTGATCACTAGAGCATCACTGTGCCAGCTGAATGGCAGCAGTATGTTAGCTCTTGGATTTTGGCTTGGTGTTTCAGGGCGGAACAAGCCTTGGTGGCCAGTCCCCGTCTCCCATCCACAGGTACCCCTTCCTCTAGGGAGGAGGCAGGTGGAGACCTTAGTGCTGAAGGCTCTGCTTTCTCCCTAATTCCCCTTCTACTGTGGAAATCAGTAGTGGAAAAAACCTCCTCCCACACTTCAAAGTGCCTCCCAAGAAGAAGAAAGGGAGAATCAATCACTAGTGAGAAAGATGCAAAATAAACCAAGAAGTAAAAAGACTCAGCGTAGAGCTGTGACTACAACCAGGTCTCCATCCCGGCAGACAAGTACACCCTTTGTGAACGTGCCTCTCAGCCACAAGCACAACCTTACCCAGCCCTCGGATGCCCTCTCCTTCCCTTACACTACGTGCAAGAACAACTCATCTGCTAAGTGACTTCCCCCGGCGCTCAGCAGCGGAACCGCTGGATGATGCATAACTACGTTTGGGAAAGCCAAAGCTGCTGCCATGGTGGTGGCTGCAGGGTGATGCTCACGGAGGTGAAAGCCGTGCTTGCTCTGCATCGTTTCATAAAGGGACGGTGCATTGCCCTACTGAAGAGGAGGGCCAACTATGCCACAACACGTGCAGGGGTATGAAGATGCCCTCCTGCACCTCTGGCCGAGACAGGATCTCTCTGGAGCTGGCCACATCTGCAACACGGCTGCTGGGCAATGCTGCTGCCGGAAGGGGGAGGGAGGGGGAAGGATCTAATTAGTATCAAAGCCTATCATCTCAAGTAAAAGAGTGACTTTGTAAATTAAGTTTAGGAAAATTAGGTTGTGAAAGAAGAAATTAAGGATGCATTTTTGAAGCGTAGTCTGCTTTCTACTTGAGGTGGCTGAGAGTGGGAGGGAGTGTCAGGACAGCCAGACATCTCGTTAGGAAGTGAATTAATGATGTGAATGTTTCTCTCGCTCTCTGGTGAAGAGGATTGCATGAACAATGCTAGACATAATCTGGAGAGCAGGGCACTGCAGCATCTCCCCACGCAGCAGCAATGACTATGATTTTGCCACTTCAATGAGGAATTCAGATAGGAGTTTTGCCCTCAGCTCTTTCCACAGCAGACGAAGAGGGGCCCTGGTGGCAGGGGACCGAGGAGGCTCAGGCAGCCCCCAGCAGAGAGGCTCTCTGAGACACCTTCTCAGGTTGGAAGCCTTCCCCATTTCTAAAACTGCCAGGCTGGCTCCCCAGTTCCTTTCCTCCAAGGCCAGGTTAAATGCTTCCCAATAGGAGTAAACCGGATTAATCCAGGCCGCACACATCTCCAACTGTCACTGTCACTCCCCAGCACTACCATTTTTTTTTTTTTCTTTCCTCTCCCCTGAAGTGGCCTTTTTACTGTCGACTGACCACAAAGAGAGGCTCATGCCCACCAATGTTCTACCCCCGCCTGTATACAGTAAGATCCAGACTGGGAGCATCACTGTGGGCTCGCGGTGCCCAAACCGAGTACCAGGTTGAAGCAGGGTGCAGGCCGGCTGAACGCTGCCCATGGCTCACATCAGAACTAGTCACCGTGCCTTGCCTCTAGCCACTGATTTTTTGGGGCAACCTAGAGCACCTGGCCGTAGTGACTGCCTTCTGAGAACAACCAAGAAGTGGCAGAGTTGTTCCTTAACTCTAGAGACACGGCAGCTGGCCTGGCTAGCAGACCGGGCACTGGGAATCTAGAGAGCTGGCATTCAGGTACCCAGGTGGGGCACGTTGCAGGGACACTTACAAAGGCTTGGTCGATGTCCTTCCTGATATCCGCCACTATCTGGGCATTGTCGCCGCGGGCCAGGACTGCATCCAGGGAATGCTGTTGGATGGGCTCCAGCAGGCGAGCGGGGTGCCCAAGCCGCAGGATGCGGGCTTTGTAGCCAGCCAGCCTCTCCACCAGGTTATCCACAGCTACGTTGGATGGGGCACAACACAGGACCTGCAAGGGGAGAAACCGAGTGGTGGTTACTGCCAAGGGCAGCAAAACGCTGGCGCAACAGTGTCCGAGCAGGAAGACACTCAGCAGAGAGGGACACCAGTGTCTATGGAGAATAAATCACTGACATCTCCACAGCCTCCAGAAACCAAAGGCAACTGTCACCTTGCTTTGAAGCACAAGTGCAGGGTCTTCAATAAATAGCAAACCCGAGCTTTGAAGCTCCAATTTGTACCTAATTGCAGGTGATAAGGGAAACTCCCTGGTCCTTGCAAACCAAGCCTGACTCTGCAGCGTAACACAGCTATTGCTGCATCCGCTCCAGCTACCGTGGAGCCCAATGAGTTTCCAAAATAAACCAAGGTGACCACTGTCACTACAGTCCAGCCACCGATACTCACTTTCAGGCCTTGCTGTACAGCTTGCAAGATGATCTCTACCAGTGTAGTGGTCTTCCCTGTGCCAGGTGGTCCGTGGACGATGGCGAGCTCCCTCTGGGCCAGTGAGAAGGAGACAGCTTCCCTCTGCGATGCGTCCAGTGAGTCATTGTAAAGCTTTAGAGGCTCTGAGGAGAGAGCAGGAGATTCATTTGGACCTCAGCCCTAACTTGGGCGCTTGTTGAGCAGCACAAATCCAGGAATACAAATAAGAAGCTCTCAGTAGCTGGCCCGAATCAATTTGATAATGAGAATAGCGTTCTCGGGGAGGAAGGCACACTGTACCACCCAGCTGGCTAAAAGAGCCCAGGCTGGTAAAAGTAAGGCTAGTTATGCTTCAAAACGAACAGGCTGCCCGTCCTCCATCTGTGTCCTTCCCCTTCCATCTCCCACTCTCCTGTTTTTCCGAAGGAGCAAGCATTCAGTTGTGAACACAACTAGTCTCTACTGGAACTTTTCAGTGTTTAAAGAGGCGTTTCCTTGCTATAACATCAACCGTGTAGGATCTGCTGGGTGTGGAGGCTGCTCTGGGTTTATTTTAAGGGTGAGCCCCTTAAAGCGTATTTAGTAAACCTTCAATAAAAAGAGGGAAGTAGTTGATCTTGCAAACAAATCGCTCCCGTTCCAGTTAACAAACCCAACGCAGCACTAGTGAAAAAGCAGCAGAAAAGAGCAGTCCTGTATTGTTCAACAGCGACTGAAAAAGAAGGCAGGAAAAAGATACAAACTGGCAATATAAATGTTGAAAACTAAAATTAGTTTGGGCTTTAATGATCAGAAAGGAGAAAAGAGAAAAGAATATGCAAATTGCATTACAAGAGAATTGGTTTCACTGCAGAAGACTGAATTCTCACAAGCTGCTTTTTACCTCCCAGATTTATCTCATTTAAACCCATATTTATTCTCATCCCCCATAATCCTGCTGCTAATCTCCTTGTTCATTATGGAAGTTAATTACAGCAGGGATGATGACTCATTACACCGAGGTTTACTGAAAATAATGTTCCCATGAAAGCTTATGTAAGACAAATCTCCGGGCATCGTTCCCTGCTGGGCATCATGTGTTTTATCGCTATCTTTGCATTAAGGGCTTGATTAAAAGCATGAAAGTTTCTTCTGGTTTTAGGCAGGTTAACTTGCGTGCAACTCCCCCGTAACCTCTGGCACTGACTTTTGAAGCAGCACAACTAAATGAGGTGTCCAGCTTAAACAAATAACATCTGTTAAAAGGATGCCTGGCGAGGAGGAGAGAAACAGGACGAATGGTACTTTTTCCTGTTGACCTGCATCTTGTTTCATACACAATTTTTGCGTTCATGTGCTCACGACTAAGAGAAGACCAGGCAGCATCCCATGGGCCTGGGAAGAAAGAAAGGACAGCTTCAAGACTGAAAGGCATTTCCCACGATGAGGAACAGCCGGGACGTAGGAGTCATTGATATTTCCTTGCTCAAGGAATGAGATCAGAAACAGGCTTCTCCTCGCGCATGCACACCCTCTTCCCTTTTAATCACACGCTGCCAAAAGCTGCTGTGTGGGCAGGCTGGGAAATGTGCCTCTCTTCTGGGCTGGGCACATTAGTGGTGAGGAGGAGGGCAGAGCCTTTTAAGGGATGCTGTGGCTCCTCTAAGCTCTTCTCCATCTATTAGCTGGGCTCTAAGTAGGCTCACCTGAAGAAGTGCAGTTCATCCACTCCAGCAGGGCTGGCCCAAGAGCTCCTTGTAAGCGATCAGTTTAGGATTTGCAGAGATGCTCCCAGAAGATGCCCATTATCCAGCTCCAGCCCTGTGGCATCAAGGCTGCGTTGCTGCCTCCTGCTCTGCCCAAGGCTGTCCATCTCAGCCCCCCGACGCAAACGTACATCTGCATCCCTGGGCCTGGCAGGCATGGGTCTCGCTGCTGGGCGGGTCATTCAGCCCCTGGTGTGTAACTTGATTTGGGAGTGTAGCATTGAATTTTAAAAAAAAAAAAAAAAAAAAAAGATTGCTTTGGCCATCAAAGTTGGTCCTCCAACAACATTTCCAGGAACTGAGACGCTTCTCTGCACAGTACCAGCAGTCCAGGTGAAGAAGTGGGTTGGAGGGTGATTTTCAAGTCTAGGAAAGGGGTTTTTGCACCAAACACAGGTGGGAACAGTCCCTCCTGGGAGGAAAAGCTCAAGTTCTCCAGAGCTGGACGCCTCTCACTTCTCAATGTACCTTCCAAAGCATATTCCACACCATCAGTGTGTACATGCACCAAGAGAAAACCGGACCAGTTCCTCTACAGTACAAGCTAACTGCAGCCAAAGACTGTTGGACAAAATCCAGGTGGGTAATTAAGCCTGAACCAAGGAACGTTCCCTATGAACTCTCCCTATGAACTATTTGGCCGCTGAGTCGTCTGGACTGCTTAGTTTTCCCCGTAGATCTGAAGGGCCTCTGCACAGCCCTGTGATGAGAACAGGTATCCCACGGCAGAGGGACAAGGAGCATTTGAGATTTTGGAAGTGACTTGTCACGTGCACGCAACTTGTGCCAAGAAGCCGAGGAAGTTTTGCTAGAAACCCCTGGTGCCTCCCCAGTGCTCTGCCTGCTGGGTCAGCTGTTACTGGGGACACTTCTAACTAGGCTTTTTTCTTCCTTCTTTCTCTCTCTCTTCAAATGTCTTTCTACAGCAATCGGCATAAGCAGATATACGCCATGCCTTTTGCGCTCCACGTGAGCCAGCCAGTGTCTGGGCACAGAGATGAACGCTCCCTCACTTTGTCCAGCCAGGACAACAGGAGAGAGCCGGTAGCTATTAGTGGTCTGCACAGCACTACGCCTACAATAAGGCATAACCTTATTTCTGCAAGAAAAGGGACCGGGTCCATCCGGCAAGCAGAGCAATGCTGGCCTCTGCTGGCAAGCGAGGCCTCTCTATACATCCACCTCAATGTACAGGAGCAGGGGCCCTGCGGATATGCTGAGACAGCAGCTGAGAGCGGGGAAGGGTTTCTTGTAGGAGGTTCCTGGTGTGAAAGCTCTACCTGCTTCTGGGCCATGAGTGGAAGGTTAAAGTGGAAGAGAGCCAAGCAGAGCATTTCTTACGGGTGGGCTTCTGGATTTTGCTTCCCAAAGAGTCTGAGAGAAGCAGAACTCCTGTTCAGTTCAGAGTTTGCCTTTTAGAAAGCTTATTCTCCCACTTGGTTACCTTTCTGGAGGCAGCAAGGTGAGGGTTGGAAATGCTTTGTGGTGGGGACCAGTCCATTCTTAGCTGCAGATCCCATTTGCTCACTGGTGATGCCTTCATATGCTCTTTTGGACTGCTCCACAGGTTATTCTTCCCAGAGCCCGTCGAGTGTTTTTGTGTTATTCCAAGGATATTTATTTTGAGTTGCATCTTTAAGTGTTTTGAAAGGACTTCGGCTTTGATGTGCAGTGCTATGGGTAACGCCTCAACCTACACACAATCCCAGCAGCTCAGGAGAAGTGAAAAGCACAGATTCAATGCACAACTTCAGCGAATACAATCCTTCTGGCCAGGCTGGCCCTGCAAGGGCTGTGGGCTTGTCAGGGGCATTGACATTTTTCCTGATCTCCAGCAGCATTTCAGCTACGCCCTTTGTGCAGGAGAGACAGCCTCCAGCGTAGCCCTGCCACTCACCAGCCCACGGGGAGCCACCAGCTTTCTGAATCAAACCTGAAGCCCCTGGCTGCCTCTCACAGCTCCGATCCCAAAACATTGATCAGGCCTGGCCCTGCTCAGCCCTGAGCCCAAACATACTCCTGGCTAGACCCAGAGGGGCAACCCGAGCCCCCTGCAGTAGCAACGGTGCCAGAACCCATTAGCTGTGAGATTTCCTCTTCCCTGTAAAGTCCATGGGGTGAGGAGCCTGGTACAAACCAACTTCAGGCTTCTTAGGGTCAAAAGCCTGGCATTTTTTTCCCCCCGTACTGACAACCATCTCACATAGGCCCACTCCCCAAAAATATGCTCCAGGACATTTTTCCAGTGGGAGTCATGCCTGTACCCATTACTACGGGGAGGGATTCACCCCCCACTAGTGAGCAGGATTTTCCTGACACTGTGGGAAACAGCTGTGTGCAAATTAGCGTAGCAGCAGCAACTCTGCCACTCATCAGGAGTTGGGTAAAAGGGCACTAAATTATTTTTGTCATCATTACCCTCCTGTGCATACTGCTGTTTTTTTCAGTAAGCCAGTATCATGCGCTGGTCAGACACCAGCAGCCACTAACTACTTCAAAACCATGTTTCCACTGGCTTTATCAGACTGCTCGTCAACCTAATCGGTCAGCAACTGGATTTAGGCACCCTCACAGGATGACACAGACTTTAATACAGATCCTCCAGGCGCAGCATGTGGCAGCCTGCTCTCCCAGGATAACCCAGGCAGCTGCGATCCAGTCAGGAGAAGATCACAATGCAGCCCAGCAAAAAAAAAAAAAAGGCAACTAAAAGCTATTTACTAGTTAGGCCGCAAGGCTAACTTAAGTCTAGTCGGGTATGCGGTAAAGACACCCTGTATAACCAACCTCTTGGAAAATAAAAAGTAATCAGATGCTTTTCCCTTTTCCCTCCAGGTTCCAAGGCTCAAAGTTGGAAAAGACCCACCAGCAGAAAGCACCAACGGCGCAGAGAGTGGCATTCGGCCTCCACTAGCTTTGCTGCTGGGAAGAACCACCACACCTTGCGTCTTTCAATGGCACTGGTGAGTGTTCTGCATTTCAACTCTGCAGCCTGGGTACCTACAGCGCACACTCTTGAGGACGTGAAGCTTGCCCAGACTTGCTGTCTATCTGTTGCCCTTCCAGTTCACACCCCGGAAAGCTTGAACCTGCTGACCAGTTTCTAACCGATTTGACATCAAGTCCCTACAGGCTTTATGAAAACGCTCAGTGGTATCGGAACCCACCTAAAAGCCCCGAGACTCCCACGCTTGAAAAATGAAGCTTCTAATTCTTTTCCCCACATTTTAAAAATTAGATTTAGGATTCTGCTGCTGCATGTATCACTTGCTGGAGCCTATTTTGCCCTTGGGAGAACACCCTGGAATATCCAGGCATGGAGCTGGGTGCTTATGATTTCCACTGGACCTTCTATTTCTCCATCTCCTTGTAATTTGGCTCTTCCCTGCCGTTTGTACAGAAGACAGGGACAAATGCTCCCCCTCTAGGTATGGATCTCATCTACTCTGAGCCTTCCTCTTCTTTTCCTGCACAAGTGTCAGTGCTAGCTGTTTCTCTGGCCAGGTGTTTATATGGTCTCACTCCCCCCTCTGGCTTTATGGGCTTCTGATTGAAGTGGAGCTTATATTGCATCCTGGAATGGTGTTAATATAGACGTGTGTCTAGACAGCCAGTTTTATGAGATGTACAGAACTTATTAACTCCGAGACTCCTGACGGGTTTGTTTGAAATCCGATAGTGGATGGGATGAGACAGATAGAGGAAAGCATCTCCCTAAGAAACCAGGCTAAAAGATGCTTGGTCATGAAAGAAGATACTATGCCGTGGAGAAGCAGCCTGAAATGCTGTGAGGTTTTTCTACCCTTCTGTCTCAGACCATGCAGCTGGGAAACACTGGCTGCCTTTCGCAGACAGTCCCCACATCTGTGAGTTTCTATACATTCCTGTGTCCTAAGATGTACAGGACACCTGGGGAACCGCACGTGCCATCGTGTAAGTGTAAGAGACAAGATTTCTCCACCCAGCTACTGAGTGCCCTCCCTTTCAACTCAGCGGAGGCTGGCCGTTCAAGCCACCTTGTGGGACCTATTTAAAGTTAAAGTCATTGTTATTTAATTCCTGACTAGTATAACATCTTTCTGGTTAGGGAGAAAGGAGCTACAAATTGAGAAGGTAAATGGAAGGCCTTTCCACCCTGCCAGAGCATTCTGCTATTCTCAGGTTATATGCTGCCTTCTCATATTGCATCTCCTCTGTCTGGCTAACGTGGCTGAATGTTTCTATCGATCAATATTCTCAGCGCTGGGGAGATGTAAGATTCATCTCTCTGCTTAGTTTGGCATACCTGAGCAATTTGGTGAAAAGGAATTTTTCTTCCTTAGAGAGGCAGTTCTGCTACCACTAGGGAAAAAGCAGAGTTGAAGCTCCTAGGAAAGTTAGTTCATTAAAATTTAATTCTTTTATTTAATATTAAAAATCTGAGTACATCAAGGTCCGTAGGTAGCCAAAAGGCTAAAAGGTTTCACTCAGACTAAGCTCAGTGCTTAGAACTATGGAGATATGACTCACAGTAACATTAATTCTTCATCCTTGGTATACAGTATGAGAAGCCCAGCCTGAAGGTGTACTGCAGAGCAACGGGAGTGTGTATGTGGAAAAGGCGAACCACTGTGGACGACCAAATCGAGTAATCAAAGTAAGAAAAGCTGCAACGGCAAGCACAGAGCGCAAGGAGCTGTGGTGGGGAGGAAACGGAGCAGAACCCTGGCCAGCAAGGAAGCAGGCAGGGATGGATGGCGTCACCCCATGCAGGCTGCTGAGCAGCGAGGGGAGAGACCTGAGCTCTCTGCATTGCTTAGACCGCCAGCCCGATCCTGCTAGGCAGCTTAGTCCACCCTCTGCCTTCGTTCCCTGATTTTTGCGGCCCAGATGATATTTCCCTTCTGGCAAGGGACAATACTCATTAGCGGCTGCCGAGCACTCGGATATTGTGCTGATCAGAGGCTCTGGTTTCCCCATGGTTTCTCTGAAAGGGCAAGCTGTGTAATTGCATCTTGCACTTTTCCAAAGACTCACATCAAAAAAGATCTGAGTAAAACGGGATTCTACTTATATGCAATTTTTTGACAGCTGTTGGTAAAACCAGGCTGTGAAGTTTGAAGCATTTGATGAAACCAAAGCAGCCTGCGCATCTCCAACACAACAATCAGAAGGCTGTAAAAATAAAAATACAACTGTTCCCATGCCGTTCCAAACTGCAGTAGTTCCACAATCACTTAATTCCCATGAAGGCAGAGTTATTGGATTTTCAATATAGAAGCAGTGCTGGCAGTTTCTGATCTTTGAAGTTTATGGATGGGATTGGGGCAGGAAGCAAATAAGAAATGCCTCATAAACTAAACTGAATTTCAGACTCATGAATGTGTGCAAACAAATTCCCACATTACAAATCCTGCCTGTTTTATGCCAGAATTCAGCTTTACTCGGAACGCTCTGAGAGGTGAGCCTGAGCTAACTGAACAGTCTCTCTTCCAGTGATGACAAGGGTCTTTACAGGAGCAAAGTGCGTCCAGTGACCCATAAACCAGTATGAAAAGTAAGTGTTCAATGCTGCCAGTTGCTACATCCCTTATTACTCACATTGAATACTCAGGTCCTCCCTGGAGCCAAGCAAGATGCATGTTTGCATGTTTGGTGTGGATAAAAGCTTCACAAAGACCAGAGTTATTTGTGTCCCCGTGGGCAATTTCAAAGAATGGGTCTTGAACTGAGAGACCACAAGCTCCCTCCTCAGGACCGGACCTGGAAGACTGGAAGAGGAGTCATGGCAGCACAGGGTGGGAAATGCTTGCACAGTCATCACTTAGCGCTCTGGCTCTCTGCCTCTGTAGGATGTGACATCTGAAGAGGTGAGCGTCCTCCTAACTGGGCAGGGACAGAGCGCATAGCCCTTAACCTGTGGGTAGGGAACTTCAGGCTTCACCGATTGCTCTGGAGAGGGAGTGTTTCCCCCACTTTCCTCACAATAACTTTCTATATCTTTGCTTAAACCAGTGTAAAAGCAGCAACATCACTGCTGTCACCAGTCCATCCAAAACAGCTCTCCACCGCCTAACTCAGCTTCACGTACCAAGGCAGACTAAACCCAGTAGCAGTCTCAGTGTGGGTGCTTGGCTGGGGAGGTCCCGGGGCTCTGACCCTAAGGGTGCAGAAAATGTCTCTAGAAAGATCAATTCAGCACCTGCCATCAGTCTGGTATAAAATCTTATAAAGAAACATCCTTACTTGTTTCACTGAATGCACTCGGATCAGAAGAACAGAAGAGGACGTTGATGAGATCAGAGGCCGGACCAGCGTGATACTGCTTTAGTGCATTTAAAGCTCTGTCAAAGAAGAAAATAGCCAGGTTACACGCACAGCATGAACTCCTTCAGAGACTCCTGTGCACCTTGGGGCCCAGTGACAGAAGACGTTGGGCACAGATGCAACTCTTCCAAAGCTGAAAGACGTTAACTCCACAACAGACTAATCCTATCTAATTGCTGCATCCCCCAACGCTCACACACACATCCCTTATGCTGGTCAGACTTTCACTTTCTACTGTTACTCCAGTTTGATACAATCAGACCCTGTGCCGTGCCTTTTGAGCACGTTAATGCAGCAAAGAGCTATTCCCTTCTCCTGCCAGAACAGAAAAGGTCCTACACAGAATCCAATGAGCACAAGAGGTGATACAACACGGGACAAAAATATGTAACTGAGTGTGGGATGAGGGGCAGGAGAGGAAGAGGGAAGAGCAGGGCCATAGCAGCCAGCAAGCAGATAAATTTAGGCTGTTGTGACACTGTAGCATAACATATCCAATTGGGTTATCTCGGAATGGGTTCCCCCACTAGCAAGCAGAAAAAGGAAGGCACTTCCAAAAGGTGGATACCTCCCCTCAGTGGAGCTGCTATAGGAGTAAGAGGAATAAGACAGGAAAGGAGAGAAACCAAGTGAAGTAAACCAAGATCTGCCTCAGAAGAGCTTTTCCAGAATAAACTTGGCAATTTTCAATTGACTTTTGCACTCCTGAGCAGAGTGACTGTAGGTGAACTGCAACCTTGCGGCACTTACTTTTTCAGCCTGTTGTAGGTGACATCGTTGGCTAATTTCAGCAGGCGGTAAGAGCTCTCTCGGTCCAAGCTCAGCATGCCATCTCGAGACTCCTCAAAGGCCACAGTCACTGCTTTGGAGGTGACCCGTGTTACAATGCCAGTGGAGAGCGGATCAGCCTGGCCAGCTGAATCGTAAAGGCCCACAATGTCCCCTGCAAAGACAAGTTTCAAGAGAGGGCGTGAAGCAGGGCAAACATTTTGAAAAGCAGCTCTTTTGGGCAGATCAGTAACCAAGCGTGGTCAATGCAGACAGCGGGACCACCGACACCAACCACAGCTTGTTTCCTGCCGAGGACAGAATTTGTGTCAAGCCCGTAATGAAGGAGAATATCCCTCTCTTGGCTACCAGCCAGCACTCAGCCAGAGGGAACGAAAGGGCAATTAGCAGTGAGAAGACGCTAGACAGCGACTACCCAGCTATCTTCAGACAGCCAGCTGCCACAGGTCTTGGGGGGGAGACCAGCAGTGCTCCCCACAGCCAGAGCTGCTCAGAAAGCCAACGTGCTTTCACACAGACTTTGGGAAAACCTGGCTTCTCCGAACTCTCAGGCAAACCACTTTACATCCTTTTTATTTTTAAATAATAGCCAAGGAGATGTGACAATAGGTGCCTCCCAGATGACTGCTATATGCCAGTCAGCAGAACTCAGAATGACCAGAGATTTTTAAGGAGTTGCTACAGCTTTTCACAGTCACTGTGAGACGATGAGAGGCGAATTACACAGTGTAATGATGAAATGGAGATTTTGAACAAGGATGTTTGACTAAGTTTGTAACTTAGCTGGGGCTCCCATTCATTGAGGATTAAATTTCAGATTTACAGACTATGGGAAGCTCTGCTCTGTAAGGTCCATCGGCTCTTACGTTAAAATGCTTGCATGCCAGGAATAATTTACTGCTACGGCAATGTTATTTCTCTTTGAAGAGCACTGGCAGAAGCTCTCAAGGCTGCGACCCTAAGGCTGGGACCCCTGTCTGCAGAGTCATTTATTTCAAAGATCAGCAGCGTGGAGGCCTGGGTGACAAAGAACGCATCAACAAACCAAACTTGAACACACTTTGAAATAGTGCCATGGTTTGACCAGGGTCAGAAACAGTCTGGTTCCCTGTGATGTACCTGCTTAGCAAACACGGTGATCTAGCAAACTAAACCAAGACAATTATTTGGTGCAGCTAGCTTCTCTCTTGTGGACCAGTTTTGGAGAGTGCAAAGCCATAAATACCCTCATTACTTAAGGAAAAGAGGAGGGTCTCTGCAGGGAAAAATAGAGGGCATACTGCAGACTCAACTGGAACTACTTCACAGTGAAACCCAAGTTCTTCCGAGGGCCAAGCCTGCACAGCTGGTTACAACATGGCAGACAGCGTCCTCACCTTCCTCAGATACCAGCAACAGCTCAGCTCCGATACTGCTGGTCATGTTTTCATGAAAGTGATAGCAGAGGGTGAGACACAAGTGAAAAGGGCACTGTCTGGTGTACTGGTGAGCCTCTATTTCTCTAACACCTTTATTTCCAATAGAAATCCAGGTGTGTCAACTAGTAATGGTATATACTTCACTTCTTCCTCTTCCTTGCCAAAAATAACAGTACAGGTAAGGGTGGAAATATGGCAGCTCAGGAAGGAAAAGGAAAATCCACTTTCCATTTTACAGTTAAAGCGTAAATGACAAAACCTCCTTACCTACCGCAAGACATAAGCATGAACACTTTGGCTTGTACAAAGAATGCCATGAAATCCTTTAAGACAAGAGACCAGGGCTTTGTTTTTAATGATTCAGGAGGAGAGCCAGCACTTTAATCACTGGCACTATTTCCTACTGCAACATACATATCCGTAACAAGCCGAAGGGAAAAGAGACTGTTTTTCTTGAGACTCATCCTATAGCCATAACATTTTCTCCCTTCCTTTTTTGTATCAATCACTCAGTCTTTACAAATATCACATTAGAAAGACGTTAGGAAGAAGACATTGGTTATCTCTTACTTTACCTACTTTGCACCAACAGGAATATGACTTACCAGGCCCGAAACTGTTATAGGGCAGCTCGGCGTCTGAATCATATTTTCTGGGCTGAAACGTGATGAGCAGCCGTCCGTAGAGGCCGGTTCTCTGGTTGGCAGCTTGGAGTTTTAGCAAGCAGACGCCTCTGCGCTGCAGCTCCTTCAGGGAGATGCTTTCCTGCCATGCCCTGGAAACAACGCACAGGCATGAAAACCATTTGCTGGGCTGAAGCTGAGATTCAAAGCTTCAGAAGACAAAACAGGAAAAGGGAGAGATGGAAAAGAAGGGGAAGGACAATGGCAAAAGAGACATCAGCTTGTTGAAGTGTTAGCTTATGTGATCACTTTGCAGTGATGTAACTAGACTGGCTTCCACAGACTTATTTTGGGAAACGGGGCGATGCTTGCAGGGCCTGGAAAAGAGGTAACATCTATTTATGTGTGTTTTCTTCTCTCCTGTCTGGGTGTATATTCTGTTATAGTTATTCTTATCATCATCTTCTCCTCCATTGCTATTCTATTAAACTGTCTTTATCTCAGCCCATGAGGTTTCCTTTTTCTGATTCTCCTCTGTCCCACTGGGCAGGGGGTGAGTAAATGGCTGCATGGTCCTGTTGCTGGTTAGGGTTAAACCATGGCACCGAGGGCTCACAGCCCAGGAGAGAATAACCTGAATTTTCTCCTATCACACAAAAGTGCTAAAATTGAAGATTTGCCATTTTTTATGCGAAGTTGCGCTGACCTCCAACAACCACCACGCACACGGCTGCATAGGGAAGGAGAGCGGGTGTCTGGCACAGACTTGCAGGCTGCAAGTGACTATGGCACAAAATGCAGCACAAAGCAGCAGCTTTGCAGACTGCTGTCCTTTGGGGCCAAAGTCTGACACAGCAGCTGTGTTTGCTTCACACTATCACTTGGAGTGATTTCTTTATTTTCTGGAGCCCTCAGCACAGGAGAGACATAGACCTGTGGGAGTGAGTCCGGAAGAGGCCATGAAGATGATCAGAGGGCTGGAGCCCCTCTGCTGGGAGGAGAGGCTGAGAGAGTTAGGGGTGTTCAGCCTGGAGAAGACAAGGCTCCGGGGAGACCATAGAGCCCCTTCCAGTGCCTAAAGGGGCTCCAGGAGAGCCGGGGAGGGACTCTCAATCAGGGAGGGGAGCTATAGGATAAGGCATAATGGCTTTACACTAAAAGAGGGAAGATTCAGTCTAGATGTGAGCAAGAAATGTTTTACACTGAGAGTGGTGAGACACTGGCCCAGGTTGCCTACAGAGGTGGGAGATGCCGCATCCCTGGAGGTGTTCAAGGCCAGGTTGGATGGGGCTTTGAGCAGCCTGGTCTAGTGGAAGGTGACCCTGCTCATGGACAAGATAGCCTTTAAAGCTCCCTTCCCACCCAAACCATTCCACGATTCTATAAAACAAAAAAGCAAATCCCCCAGGTTTATTCTCCTTAGTTCCCCAGTTTGTCTTGTTTCCTCTAGGTTGGTCTGTAGGGAGCTAAGTGCCAGGGAACCTCAGGCAGCTGTGGGATGGCCTCGTCATGTCTCCTGGCACCCTCTGTCCTTGGGGCTGGGTAAGGCCAGGCCTTACCGGCACAGAAGTGGGGGTGTCTGTGCCCCGACATGGCCCCACACAACCCAGGGGGAGCTGGCGATACCGCCACCCTCCCCGGCACACTGAATCCACGCGAGGCAGCTGGGATTTGGTTTCAGCTCGAGCCGCGGGGCAGGAGGGCAGAGCTGGGGGTCCCAGCACCCCCCAGGGCCTGGAGGAGGAGAAGGGGAGCCCCAAGGCATTGCTGACGTCAGCTTGGATGCTACAAGTGACAGCACGCCCTAAAGGGTGAGGCTAAGAGGGATTCCTACGGGGCAGAGCGGGGCCTATAGGGGTGAGTGCAGCGGGGTTTCCCGTAGATTAGAGCAGGCCGCGTAGGGTGGCTTTCCTATTGGGAGGTGCTTGTTATACAGGAGTGAGTACAGCAGCAGTTCCCACAGGCGACAGCAGGTTTCCCACAGGTGACAGGAGCTCCTAGAGGAGTGAGTCAGCAGGTTTTCTCACAGCTGACAGCAAGACCTTAGAGCCATGTCTGTCAGGGTTTCCCACGGGGGACAGCAGGCCCCAGGGGAGGGGCCCTCGGGGTTTCCCACAGGTGAGAGCAGGCCCCGCCGGGGCCGGTACCCCAGGGCCGTGCTTGCCTGATTTAGAGCTGCAGTCATCTCTTTGCCCCATATCCATGGTACAGGGGCAGGTTAGATGCAGAAAGAGACTGTGAGAGGTTCTGTGAGTTTTAAACAGTCCTGAAACGGCCTGAGAACATGCGAAAGCAATCTGGTTTCCCACACCAAGTCCCATGTCTTCACTGGTGGAGTCCCATGGGCAGGAGAGAGCTGGGAGCCAGCAGACACCCTGATGTACACCTGGGCTGCTGGCACTGCTCTGTCCCCTTTCTGGGCAGCGAGGAGTCCAGCTGGCTCCTGAAGCACAGCTCTCTGGAGGGATGTAGTTGGGTCTGGCCTGGGTAAGTCAAGGTTCAGCTGAAATACAGTGGCCTGTGGTTGTCAGAAGAGAGCAGAGACGTGTGGTCAGCACAATTGCCTCTGTTTTCTGGTGTGTCCTGTCAGCCTGGCAGGATTATCTTCTGTGTGCCGCTTTGCTTTTTGGTTGGCCTGAGGCCTTGGGGGTGAGGGGGGGCACGTTGATAAAAAGGACAATAAACTTTACACGGTTTTTTCTATCCTGGTGTGAACCTTCCAGCAAAATATTTGGACTGGGGAGTGTGGGGGGGGACTCCATCAACCTCCTCCCTCCCGGGGCTGGGAAGCTGGCGGCGTGTTTGTGGTGGGAGCAGAGCGGGGGGCTCGGGGGCCCGGCTTCCCGCCGGGTCTGGTTTCCTGCCAGGTGAGCTGCAGCAAGTGAGGTGGTTAAGTACGTTTGGTTTTAAGAGGTCTTTCCAGTCCCCTGTCATGCTTTGGCTAGTGGGTGAAAAAGGTAATGTTCCTGTAAAGAAGCTGTGCACGGTCTGTCTTTTAATTAAGCAAATTGTTCCAGAAAGTGTATTGTTATCCCTGAGATAACATAGGCATAAATCCCTGAGCATGCATGTTTACATCTTCATCTCTTTTTGCTAATGAACAGAGTGTGCAAGTCCAGCTCCCTTCCAAAAAATGCTGAAGCTACACTCAAAGTGTAATTTAAGTTGTAGTGAACCACTTGTTCTTTGGAGATTTGTGTGCTGGAATAATAACACAGCTTCACTGTTTTGGTGAGCGTTAGCTGGTGTATATGTAGCTCTGAAAAGCATGAATACCTTTTTCTAATCCCCATGTTCTGTTGTTGTTAAGTGTTTAACTGTGTAGCTCCTCCACTGCCGTTGCCTAGAAGGCAAGGCAAGTCTGGGATGGTGCTAACCCGGACACAGGAGAAAAAAGCTGAACCTGCTCCACTGTGCCAGTTCCCGGTGTTTCACTGGCATTGCAGTGTGTGCCTGGGAGCTCCAGGGCCAGAGAGTTACTGGCAACGTGTCTTCTCTTCCTTCTCTCTTTTCGGAGTGGAAACTTTGTAAGGCTTTAGTAGAAGTTGCTGAGAATCACGTGGTAAATGTTGTGTAAAGGGCTCTCCCCTTTTTGGAGCACCCAGAGGCCTGGAAGGGATTCTTCTAGCAGCATCAGTGCTCCGAATTGAGAGAGTGCACCACAGTGTTCTTCAGACCAGCGGTTCTTCCCCTCTGCCATTCAGTCACCTTGTGTTCCAAAAGAGGTGGGATGCTCCAAGTGTGTCCTTATTAAATTGTAGCGTCTAGCTGAAAGTGTCACTTGAAATAAGCGTGTTTGCAGTGCGAGGCCTTTCTCCTGCTCTCTTGCAAGTCTGCACACAACTGATGGGTCCTTTCTCTTATTGTGTATCTTGTTTTGCTTCCCCCTCTATCTTTGCCTGTTGTGATAAAACTGAATGAAGCTTTTACAGGCAGAAAAATGGTACCACGAAGCTGACCAGTGCTGTGACACTTCAGCATTGCAGTGAATGCTGCCTCGCCACGGACTAAAAGCCCAGCAGTTGCTGCTTACTTTTAATTCTTTTTCTCTCTCTCCCTTTTAGCATTCTTCCTTTCATCTGCAGTTCGGCACCAGAGCTCCCAGAGCACGTCACTGCAGCAAGGGTAACGTCAAACGATTTTCTGCTTTACTTTTTGCCACTTGAAATGCCGACCATCCTTGGTGGGGGTGGGGAGGGCAGCTTGTTTTCCTTTTGGAAAGGAGACCCCTTTGTCTGTTGTTTCCCCATAAGTTTTGGACTCGCTGTTTACCTTCAGTCACCTTTGCCAGAAGGATGTTTCTGTTGATTTGTGAAATTAAGCAGCAGTTTCTAGAGGCAGGTGGTTAGATCCTCCACTGAGAAAAGGGCCACAGTGTGGGCTCAGCCTGTAGCAGACAGCAGAGAAGCCCCTCAAGTCAGGACATTGAAACACCTCAACTGCGGAAGGAGCTTCAGCTGCCCCGCAGTGTGCCCAGGTGGCCAAGGAGGCCAGCAGCATCCTGGTCTGTATCAGGAACAGTGTGGCCAGCAGGACTGGGGCAGTGATAGTCCCCCTGTACTCGGCACTGGTGAGGCCCCAGCTGCGTTCAGTTTTGGGCCCCTCACTGCAAGACAGACTTTGAGGTGTTGGAGCGTGTCCAGAGAAGGGCAACGGAGCTGTGAGGGGTCTGGAGCACACGTCTGGTGAGGAGCGGCTGAGGGCCCTGGGGGTGTTCAGCCTGGAGAAGAGGAGGCTGAGGGGAGACCTTCTCGCTCTCTACAGCTCCCTGAAAGGAGGGGGTAGCGAGGGGGGGTCAGTCTCTTCTCCCAAGGAACAGGCAGTAGGACAAGAGGAAACGGCCTCAAGTTGTGGCAGGGGAGGTTTAGAATGGACATTAGGGAAAAATTCTTCCCCGAAAGGGTTGTCGAGCACTGGAACAGGCTGCCCAGGGAAGTGGTGGGATCGCCAGGCCTGGAGGGATTTACAAGATGGGCAGATGTGGTGCTGAGGGACGGGGTTTAGTGGTGGACTTGGCAGTGTTAGGTAGGTTTACGGTTGGACTTGATGATCTTAAAGGTCCCTTCCAACCTAAATGATTCTGGGGTTCCGTGAAATGTGATTAACAGCCCAAGCGCAGGACATCGAGCCAGGAAACTTGAGGCTTCATTTGCTTCAGCACTTTGAGCTGTTTGTGTGTTTATTTCGCTTCCTCTGCTGGGATCTCCCGAAGCCGTACCTGGACAGAGCTGCAGGCTGTGCTGCTGCTTGCTTTAACCAGAAGGGGACACTGCAGAAATAGAGAACTCCTGTGAGCAGCATCGAGGAAAAATGGCGAGATTTGCTCATTCTGTCTGCACTGCTGAAGGGTGCAGAGGGGTGGCCTCTTCCCACTGGTCCTCAAGCATGTGGGAACACAGTTTGGATCTGCCTCTGTGACACAGCGCCCAACGTTGTTACTAAACCCCGCAACAGACCCACAAAGCCTTGGTGCTTGTGGTTATGTACTTGCTCGCAATTGCTTTGGATTTCTGATAAATTAAAGCCCTTTGAAAGGTATTGCTGGCTATTACAGAGTAAACTGATCAAAGGCAACTGCTGTTGTGTTAATTTTGCCTTCTTTCACTAGCATCTCATGTTTTTTCCTGAATATTTTATGCAGTTTGTGCATCCTGTGTTATTTATAGAAAGTGTGGATCTCAGCGCACAGGAAATTCTGAGCTTCCGATTTGTGATGGAGACGGCATTTACTGAGCAGCAGCTTTGTCTTCAAATTTCAGAAACCGGTTACCTTTCTGGTCATCTCATCATAATCCAGAGTGAATCTCCCTCCTCTTTAAGTCTAAGACTTTAAGTCTAAGACTGTCTTTGTGGTATCATAGATTCCTGCTTAATAAGGAACTATAATCTGATACCTTTTGGTTCTGTGTCTTTTTCTGAGTAAGGGCATTTGGCACCTCTGGGGATAATCCCCGAGTGCTGCAGGATGGGCTTGTGCCTGCTTTCCCTGCCCCCTGAAACGTGTACTGCAGTTCTGATGAGAGCACTGTATGTGCAAAGTACTGTCCCTGGTTAGAGTGGTGCTTTTCTCGCCAGTTCTTTGGGAACAAATCGATAGTTTCTGTAACTGGCTCTTAGGCAGAGACGTAAACAGCTGCCTCTGGTCCTCCTTGTTGTTACTCCTTGTCCTAGAGATCTTGCAAAACAGCTAATTATAAGCAAGTGCCATTTGCATTTTTTCTGCTCAAGCTCACACTGTGAGTTTTGCGTAGTGTTTCATTTTTGAATTAACACCCTGTGGCACGTTTGAGCGGAGTTCATTGTTGTTCAGCTCTGATGTTTTAAACGGGGTTCTCGTGCTGTAGTGCTGTCTGCGCCGCTGTGAAGAAAGGCAGTGCGTGCATGCAAACACCTGCAGTGCTGACGGTACAGGGCTTGAGGCAGGAGTGAGCGCGGTTGTGAGGCAGAGGATCCCTGCCAGTGATAATCCTGAGAAAAGCAGAAAGAATCCACCGTGACGGCTAATGAGAACATGTTGCTGGCTGCTAGCTGAAATGCCCCTGGCAGTTTTCAGTCTTTCATTCTGTATCAATACTGTGGCCTGCTTGCCTTCAGGCCCCCAGTTTATTCACTGAACTGAAGCTGTCATGTGTTGGGGCAGCCGTATACCATTTTCCGTAAGGAAGAGAGCAACATCTAAGTGTCGAAAGTAGAGCAGGCTTCAGGTAAGATGTCTTCTGACCCTGCTTTGGCAGGGGGGTTGGACTAGATGATCTCCAGAGGTCCCTTCCAACCCTGACCATTCTGTGGTTCTGTAATTTGTCATTCAGGTGCTGGTGCGGTTTGAGCTGTGGTGCTCCCGCCATTGTGTCTGTGCTGAATGATCCTAAAGGGATTCTAAAGGGATTCTCAGCGCTACAGTTGCGGAGTGTTTGAAATGAGATGTTACTACAGTGGTTCTCTATCACAACAGGGGAAGCTACCCTTTAATAAGGATTTAATTTGCACTTTTTAGCAAAATGTCTTAGTGCCCAAAGTCATCATGAGCAATGATGCTTGTGCTTGGCTGGATAGCTGTGGGATGGTGCACGTTCCTGCTCCCGTCCGTGGTCAACCTGAACCAAGATAGGCGTGGGCCTGAGAAGCCTTGTTAGATGTCTGCCAGTCCCTCCCGATCTGCTGTTGTCAACTTCGACAGACATGGTAATGGCACAGAAGAGGCTTTTGGGCTAAACGTTAAATGCTGAATTGCACTGGGGGTGGGAGAAGCCGTTATTATTGCCATTCAGAGAATGCAGCTGTAAGTGACAAAAGAAGAGCAGCCTCATAACTCTCCTGTAAAGAACCCAGCTGTGGTCTTAAGGCCCTCTCTAAACTATCTATTTAACAGAGAAGAGCTTCAAAAAATAGAGGAAAAAAGGATGCCTGTGAGTCATTCATGTGTCGCGCTCAAGGCTGATTTAAGAATGCTCATTAGCCCTTCTTCCCCATCAAAGGCACGTTTCCTCCTCCCGGATGCTCCCCGCTATCGGGTATCTTCAGGGCTTTGTGCTTGGTGCTGAAGTGGGTTGAGAAGCGTTAATGGGTTCAGCCTCTCAGCTGTGGTGGAGGTAACTTGTCTCTATACCTGGAAAAGCTTAACAAGAGCCTTTTAGATAAAACTCAAGTGTAAGCAAGGCTTAAGGTAGGTCTGTTTCCATTGGAGTTGGTGACAAAATTCCGGTCTGTAAAAACAAGGCGGTGGAAAGTCCCTGGTGGTCGCTGGGCTTGGTCTCCACCAGCACATCCAGCTGTGGATCTCAGCATCAGCAACAAGCGATAACCTAGCCTGGGCGAATTTTCAGTTAATTTTCAGTCTGTTTCATTCTGCACTCTTTCTTTGTTTCAAACTATTTCAAATAACATTCTGAAGTGGGAAGTAAAAACAAACAAACAAACAAAAATCAATTTGCCCATACTGAATGTTATGCCAGGATGGGAGTAAAGCAAATCAACCACTGAGGCGCTTATTCCTTTTTCTTAAAGCTTGTTGCAATTTATGGCGGACCTAACTGATGTTAAGCCCTGGGAGCAGCGACTGTGTTTGGTAGAGCATTTGTAAGTTGAACTCAGAAATGAGATCAAGTGTTTTCTGCATGTTTTTGAACAGCCTTCTGATATGGGCTGCAGCTTCAGCACTTTTGCAGCATTTCTTGTCCTACTGGAGTGCTTTTGCCAGGTGTTGGGAGGAAGGTCTGGGGACTTTGCCATATCCAGTGTCCTCCATTGGATTAAGCCCTAGGGAGATAACGTGGCTTTTGCCTCACCTGCCACCCTCTGTCCGTAACACTTAAGACCAGAACAGAAAACCTCTCCTTGCTCATGAGCTGCTACAAAGTGAAATGTGATCTGTGGGAAACCATCTTCTGGCCCAAGTGGCCTTTGGGTCGAGTCTTTCATACTGACAAATCATGAAGTCTCCTGTACAACTGCTGCTCCCCCAGTGGAAAACCGCTCTACTCCATCTCCAACTTCTTTTACCTTTTTTCCTCTCTTCATGTTTTATGTCTCTTGACAATATCTGTTTGCTACAAATTAATCTTACCTTATCATTCACAGACTTGTTGCCAAAACATCTCTGACTTCACCGCCATGGCCTGAAGTGAAACTTCCAGATCCAGTCGAAGAAGCGAAGTACCATGCAGGTAAAGGTCTTGAGTCTCAGGTGAAGACTAGCACTCCAGTATTGCCGTTGGTGGCCCGATTGAGCATAAACAAGTATCTTCAATGACTGGAGCTAGTTTTTGTTCTTCACACTTTTGTCATGTTTCTGGCACGTGTTAGTGCCACTGGACTTGTGTTCCAGCTGCTGGTATTGGAGATTTGGGTAGAATATGAGGTCTCCTTAGTTTATGGCAGCATGACAGGTTGTAAGACCCCCAGAGGAATCTTACCTGATGTGATGTGTCGCTTTCTAAAGCGTGAAACGAGCCTTTGGACAGGAGAAAACAATTATTTTTCTTTTAATGGTTAAATCCAAAAGCTAAATCCAGCATAAGCAGTTGGATGGTGGGCACATCTGAGAGCTGGTGTATTTTAGCGCATAAAACGGAACACTTGAGCCAGCATAAACAGTTGGATGGTGGGCACATGACAGAGCTGCAGAGGTGTGACATAAGGCAATGAGCAGCTGGGAAGCCACGTAACGTTAGCGAATGCA